AGTTAGCCTCGATACAGATCTCCTCGGTTGATTGTGCTGAAGTGATAAACTCAACTTCCACCAGTCTAGGAATACTGAATCTGTGATTTACGCAGTACCAATAAGTGCAGTGAGATCGGCTAAAATATCTTTAAGCTCGCACAATGAAGGATACAATGGAACACAGTGGAACAGCACGTGTGCACCTGCACCTGCGTACATGTCCTTACACAGCAGCTTAACTAAAAAGGGCTCGCATCCGCACAGGTGAAGTTGCATTCAGCTATATGATAGTTATTTATCTTGAGGGACTTAGGCTTTGCACTCGCTATCGCCTTACCATAATCAGTTTTACCATTCAAATGGCTCAGCCAGGACAGTGCACCAATAGAATTGGTGATGTAGTCAGACTACAGTAGGCTTGATCGCCATTGAATACGAAAACCTGAAACCCTTCGGAAACCTTGCAAATGCACGAGCAGAGCGATCTTTGTCTCACCTTCAGACCTTCATCGAGAACGTTTGATACCACGCTGGTTGTATCGTAAGATAAGTACATGTCAAAATCCTTGAAAACCTACGTTACTAAACTGGAGCAATCCGGACAAACTAACTTTTCACCTGATGATTTCTCATAAACCAGTGTTTGCTCACTTCCATCCTTGCCTGCACATTTTTATCGTTCATACGACGTTCGGCCTGAGAGAGTTTGACAACCAGGGAGATTGAGATGAGTGTCTCTGCGCAGGATGGTCCGCACATGGCCTGTCAGAAGCTGATAGTTGCTGAATTCACTACCTACTGAATGCACGTCGTATCTGACATGAATGAAGTGGCTGTCATAATTCAAAGCATTCAAAGTTCTTACGGACTCATTAGCGCCTCCTCAAGGGGACTTAGAATAGTATGCCAAACCCATTAGATTAAGTTAACACTGACCCAAATAGAGTCGAGGTAACCAATATAGGAGTTCTAATAATTCTATGAAATGCTCACGAACCAACTAGCGTCACAGCTTAAAGATACTGCGAGCTGTACGCCACAAAAACAACGGGACAGATAGAGACGGTCCGGCACATCCGTCCTCCTCAAGCGTGCTCAAACTGTTGAGCATCATCACATTATAATAAGGATAATTGCGGAGCGAGCGAAGCGAGCGGAGCGTATTCTCTCACTTTACTAACACTTTGTGCGTGCGTGCGTACAAATTATCCAGCTCGATCTAGAGTGGTTATGATCACATGCTATACACCATTCGATAGCTCTCGCTCTGGGGATACTAGGAAAAATACGAAATTAGGGTCCCGTCCGGACCATGTAGATTTCCGTGCAAAAAACATATTTTTGCAGAAAAACGCCAGGCATGGGAATCGAACCCGGATGCCGAGCTCCGCCCCTTCTCCGAGAAGGCCTAGTAATCTATTCAGAAACAAATCACATCAATAGAGACGGGACTATCAGGCTTCAATCGAACTCAGCCAGTACTTCAACCTCTCAAGTTCCGACCTCGTTCTCAGCATACCAAGGGGGAATAAAGGCTGCTCAATACAGACAGTCATAGGGTCTCCATTCACATCAATAACCGGTTCGACAATATTGGCTCCAGAGAGTCGAAACACTTGGAGTTCCTCAAGACTAATGGGATGTTCAAATAATCGACTGGGTAATCCATAAAATGCTTCAACCTTGATATCGTTACCATAACGATCACAAACCGGACCAACGAGACTGCTATCAACTGTATCCCCGTCCTCCCCGAGCCAAGGCTTCAAATTACGTTGACGCTGAGCATAGGGAATTTTGGAGCTGCCTGTGTCAACATCATAGGTGGCTGATCTGAGTACTCTTCTCACCACATAAGGCCCTCTACAAAGGTTGTCCAACTTAGTCTTTCTGGGATTTCGGACCAAAACCAAATCACCCTGATTAAAATTGTAAGAACTTGGAACAGCTGGCTGCTGAAGCTTCTTGGCATAAGATAGGCTACGCAATGCAGCTGTTATGGACCGATGACGACCCTCATAGAATCCTCCAACCCATGGAGACCTGAACATAATCTTACGACTCCGAAAACTCCATGACTGGAGTGCCGCCTGAACGGTCTCAGTAAGCAACTTAATGCCATTATCATGTATGGCCGACCTCTGAGCAACTCTCACATCCGATGGGTACCCCCAACGGCCACAAATCAGAAGAATACCCCTGCTCACATCCTCAGCACATGCTGATCTGCGACTCACCAATTCAGTGTAGCGAGTTAATAAACAAGTAGCGCTGAGTATATAGCGCGCCCCCGACGATGAGCAAGGTAATGGTCCATAAAGGGCCAAACCAATTGTTTGCCAATGACCTGGAGGCTGGTCAAAACGTTTAGTCTGATTTTGATGACCACCATCACCAGTAGTACTGGTCCAGTACTCACCTGACAAGCTCGACAAGAACGAACCCACATAGATACAAGACGACGCATCTTCGGGAACCATACAAGCCAACGTAGTTGATTATGGACTAAAAGGCGGCCACCATGCTGTAATCGATGATGAGCATTTTCAACTAACTTACGGCAACGCGGGTGACTGATCGGGAGGACGAACTGAGAATAAAACTCACCTGTGGGTCCTCGATCACATCCTCGCTTTGAAATGCCGTCAGTCACGTAACAATCATATGACAAGCCCTTCTCAGTTGAGGTCATTGATACAATGTCATTAACCTGCAACTTACAAATAACTCCTTTAATAAGAGGGTCTGCTCGTTGAATCTTCTCAACCTCATCGATATCCAGAGGCTCCAAAATTGAAGCGGTGGATACACCAATATGAGCAACAGTCACAGAGATATCTTTATGTTGTCTAGAGAGCCGGTCTGCTGATACATCACGTCGACCAGGAATATGTTCAATATCAACCATCAAATTAAGGTTGCCTAGAGACATCATCAGCTCTCGAAGTTCGAGGCTCGAACCGTCTCATGTAGTCGACGTAGAATTTCATAATCAATACCACGATTTGACTCAATCGTAGGGAGTCCGATAGTCTTCGCCACAGTGCTATCGGTAGAGATTAAAATCTTTTTCCACGAAGGTAGAAAACCTGCTTCAACAAGCAAGAGCATTTGCTGTCTTCACCAGAGAAAATGTTTCACGACGATTTGCATGCCAGGCATTCTTCGGAAAGGACTTGCAATCAGCATACCAAGTAGATTTTATCGAAGGAGTTAAAGAAAAGACCATCCCATAACTAGTAGTTATAACTAGTAGTTATAACTAGTAGACTACTAGTAGTAGTTATTAACGACCCGCAGAGGCATCACAGAAAACAAAAAGATTCTCGCAAGCGAACGGCAACGATTCAGTCCTTCCCCTAATGTATCCAGCTCCGAGTGACCGTTACGGTGAGAAACACGAGGTTCTTTAAGTGTAAGATAACGCCGTGGCGTTATCTGATGTGAAATCGCCACGTCACGCAGGGGGACAATCAATTGTGTTGAGACAGGAGCCGCGAAATCAGGCTTAGCTAAGCTACGCTAAGTTCCACGTACCGGGGAATTCGGTCTCTCTCTTCACGGCTGTTCGGTTGCTCCGAGAGTTTCCTCTCCCGACAGCCTTCTGGCCTTCCCTTAAGGCCAGATCAACTCGAACTCAACCCACCCACCTCAACCCTTGTTACTGGGGCGTCTCTGGTTGCTTGCCGTATAGCAGAGTACCGTCAAGCAGCCAAGGTCCGAGTTCCAGCCCTTCAGCATCAGGCCGCGGATTGGAACTCCTCTCCCAACCCCAGTGGCTATTTCACAGTAAATCCCGCTCCAGTGAGTTCCGATGCCAGCGAATCCGACTGGTCATCTGTGTCCCCCATCACGGAATTATTCAAGCCATCATCATTCAAACAGCACACAAAGTTTGTGTGCTGCTTGGATGTAACGAGAACTTCGGGTTTCTTACGTCCAGCGCCTGAGCTCCATGCATGTAATGTTCACTATCTTCAACATGAAGTTCTTGAATCCACCGCAGGCGAAGTCACCCTCGTCCTCGAGACTGCTCAACGCTTTAACTATGGGAACATAGATGCGGACAACCCGGCTGATAGCCAGGCCTTGAGAAAGCCAGCGGCTCGAAACGGACCGCAGTAGCTTCAGAGGTGCTTTTTTGGGTTGCTCCACTCCGCTACTGGAACCGTCCTCATCACTTTCGTCCTCGTCAGAACAGCCTTGCCTATCGAGATTGTCACTTTTAGGAGAATAGCCTTGTGCTTCTTGTAGGGCAACAGCCTTCACATTGGATCTCGAGAAGTGATCATACAGTGAACTGTATACATCAATGCAGGAGTTGACCAGCGGGCAGAGCTCAGATGCGGCCGAGTGTAGACAGTGTGCTGTCCCATCGTGGCAGCGCGACAAGAGATCTCGCTCGCCTCATATTCTATTGTTGAACTATAATATTACTACTAGTGGAACCCCGTCGCTACGCTCCGGGAGTCGCTACGCTCCGAGGACAGATAGCAATGTATGAGACTGGATAAAGTACTAATATACTTGGTAATAATATAGCGCAGATTTTGAACGATGACAGAAGTAAGATGCACGATGTTCCGATAACTGAACGCAATAGAGACAGGCATGACGCTCCAACGTTTCGCCACAACGTGAACAACCTTGGCATGCTGTTATGCAGTTTTGAGGCATCAGTCGAGATTATGAGCTCGTTTTCTTTTCTTGAGCCGCATGGATATACGATGAGGAGAAGATTTTGGTCGAAGTTGGACCTGAAAAGAAATGGGTCAAGTTAACGTTATGAGTTCCGAGCATAGAATGAATAGAAATTGTATGCTTGCAGGAAGAACACATTGGGCGGATTAGGTATCGACAATCAGATAGAAGTAGTTGAGGGAAGCATAACGATATGTTGGAAGGAATGTGAACGCGCAGGAAAACGTATATCGCGAGAAAAACGTTTTTGAAATTATCTCTCCCATATGGCCTAGCGCCTCAACGTGGCGTGGGAGTGATACTCATGCGGAGTATGCGAAGCTAGACCGCTTATACCGAACAGTTCGGTCCGAACTCGACAATCACCCAACGGGTGGTGACTGAGTGGCGGTGATTCCCCCTTGCCCCCCTCCTTTTTTCTTTATTCGGCTCTCCGCACATCTCCTCCTGTAGGGTCCTTCATACTCGTCACCCC